TAAACTGTATTATATACTTATTAGTAATGTATGTATATAAATTCTAAATAATTAAATATGTTGACATCTGTGATTGAAAATTTTTGATGATAGAGTGTGAGATCAAAAATATTTGAAGCCCATTGGTTTAGACTTTTTTAAATAGTCACTTATAGTAAAACATTAAAAAAAAAATCTCTACTTTAAATATTAGCTTGGGTATTGAGTAGAGTACAGGTTATATTGTTAGGAAGAACTGAGAATAAATCTTTCTGATACTAGTTATGTAACAATAAACAAGTGACTTAATCTCTTTGAAGCTCAGTTTTCTCATTTGTAAAAATGTGAATAAAAATAACATAAAATCTCCTCACAGAGTTTTTATAAGGTACAACTGAGATATGTATGGAAATACTTCCCAAACTTTAAATTGCCATATAAATATATATTATCATCATCATCATCATTATTATAATTAATTGTAATAGTTTTAAAGCTGTGACTTTAGTTTCTTACTAATTCTCCAGGGTTTTCTAAGTGCATCATCATGATATCTGCAAATAGAGATTTTTTTTTCCTGATTTTTGTTGGTGCTTATTACTTTAGTTTCATTCTCCTTTCTTGTTAGAGCTAATATTTTTAGGATGATGTTAACAGGGGGCAGAAGGGTATCCTTATCTCATCCCTGTTTGTACTGGGATGGTGATATGGATTCATAGAAATTTTTGTTTCATAGGAAAATGGAAGTGAAGTGACAGTATGAAAACTCAAGGGTGACAATTCTGTCTTGCTTTAACCCCAGAAAAGAGCACAAACAAGCAGTAGACACTGAGGATAGTTTTGCCTATAAAACAAAGGTAGTTTTGCACTCCAGGTCTCAATGCTGTATGTAGCCTTGTTAGATCATATTGAGTGTCTAGAGGTAAAGTTCTTTTCCTGTTGATGGAGCCTCTATAACTTGTGAATTTCCACAGATATGTGGAACAAAAATAACCAACTTGAGAGGTTCCTATGTTTGGGATTTACTTTCTACTACAAAAGTGTCAAACTAGTGTCTGTTACAGAGCATTTTATTGCATGTTGGATAGTCTAATGGTTAAAAGTTTCTCTTAATGTGAAGAAGTGGGAGGCTGTTTAGTAAATACAATGCAAAACACCTGCACATAATGCCCACTAATGATAGTTTCCTAGATCCAGAGCTCAAATTGTGTGGAGTTGAGTGTGGATGAATGCCATTTCTCCTTGTTAAATTGATTCAGTTAATTTATATGAGAGAGCAGAAATTAAAGAAATCTCCCCTTCGTGACATGTTTGTCATCCCTTCTGGGAAGCTGCCCACCGCCCATCTAAGGAGAAGAGTGCAGTTTCATCACCTGTAACAGATTAAAACCCAGGATGCCACATGAAGACATTAGAGATTTGTTGTTTGTTTTGTTTTGAAATCTTCCTAAGTGGTATGATTCAACACTCACTTTCCCATTAAATTCCAGGTAGCCTGAGGTCCTGAACTGTTGTTGCTTTTTAAATTTTTTTTTTTGCTAAAAATATGTGGGCATGAGGAAGAAATACTGAATGTTCTGATATTTATTTGATTTCATTCATTCGATGACATTTGTATTTGACATTGATGCATTAATAGTGCTTTGAAATTGTGATTTAAATCACATCCAACCAAGCTGAAGAACTGTAATTTGTCAATTATTCCTTTGCAATGAAGAGGCAAATAGAAGTTCCGAGTTACAGCTGTATCTTGAAGTATATTTTGTGGATCCAGTGGGATTTTTGGATGGTTTATAAAGAAAAAAAGTATTATGAATGTAAAGATCTGGGATGGGGAAGCATGGGAGACAACATGACTGTGAGAAAAAAAGTTACCTGGGAAGTTGCTGAAGGACAAAATCAGGAACACCCGATCTTATGTTCCTGGAGCCATTATTTCCCTCAATCTCTATCAAAACAGATTCATCACCTCCTTTTCCAAACCTTTCCCTTCTTCTCAACTTTCATATTTCTGTTCAGTACACTACTATCCTCCCCATCACCCCAGGTGCATGTAACCTTGGAGCCATTCCTGCGTGTTCCCTCTTTCTCATCCCACATATTCAATCAGAGGCCGTGTTCTAACAATTTTATATTGCCACAACTCCTTCCCCTTTTCTCCATTCACAAGAATACCTAGACTGTAATAGCCGCCAATTGGTCTTTTTGCTTCCATCTCTCCCTTTTCCAATCCATCCTTCACCCAGCTGCTAAAATAATATTCCTAAGCCATAGGTTTGACCATATCCTCCTCCTACTCAAAAATATTTAGTGGCTTCCTATTATTTATTGCCTCTAGGATAAAATGCAATCTTTACCATCTGGTGTTTAAGGCCTTCTACAAGGTCTTATTTCACATTACTTGGTCTTTCATGTAGGGGTTATGTCATTTAAATTTTTTTATCCCCAAGACTCAATATAGTGCTTGGAATATATAGGCACTTACTAAATACTTATTGATTGATTGATGTATTTTACTTTCTAGTCAAAGATGACTACTGCCTATTTCCCAAACTCCTCATTCCATCCATCTCCCACCTATATACTTCTACATAAGCCATGAAAGGATACCCTCTTCATTTCAAAGCCTGGATGAAAGATACAGATTTTGCAATTCTAAGTTATTAATGCAATTTAATGCAATTCTAAGTTATTAAAGCCGTATTCATTCTATAGCTTTACTTAGCATTTACCTCACAGAGTTGAAATAATATTGAAATAATATCTGTAAAGAACTTTGCAGACCCTTAACTATATAAAAGTTTAGCTATTATTAGTAAAATTATTGTTGTTTTTATTATTCCTCTGGGTACTTGTTTATATTCCAAGGTAGAAATTAAGGTCTTTGATGGAAGAGATCAGATTATTTATACTGTATTGTATTATACTATACCATATCATTATATATTATATCATGTCATATCATTTCATATTCCTAGCACTGACGACTATAACCAGGTCCTAAGTTTGATTACAAACCCTGGACCAGCTGCCCTTTAAGGTCCCTTTAATGTCTAACATAGTCTTAGATTTAGAACCAGAAGGGACCTTACAATTCAGTTAGCCCAGCCTTCTTATCTCATAGATAGGAAACCAAAACCTAGAGCTAAATGATTTTGTCCTTTTAGATTGAAGTAAGAATTAAAGGGAGGGAGGTATTGGAAGAGCTTGCCCTATCAAAGGGCAGAGAGAGAAACCTTAGTGTGGAGTCAAATCAATTCTTCCTTCACCATGTGGCAAACACATCCTAGAGGAGCAAAGAATAACTAAAATTCTAAAGTCCTTAGCTCTGAGTGAATCCATCCAATTTTTCAATGCTCCCCCTTTTCTTCTGCATAAAATGAGGTGTCAATACTACCTGATTTTCAAGTTAAAATTTATCACCCAGAGCTCCTGTGCTCGTTTTGGACATGCTACAGCCTGTACTGAATCTGAAACGTGTGTCACACAGCATATATAAATTAATATTGTATGATAATGAGCTGTTCACCAATCTCTAAAGAGGTATACTGATTTACAAAACTGCAGGGGTAGTCCATTAAGAATTGTGGAACCCTACTACCCATTTCCTATCAGGGGTGGGAAACTTCAGCCTTGAGGCCACAGGTGGCCCTCTAGGCCCTCAAGTGCTGCCCTTGTTCATTCTGTGAAGTTTGGATTCAGTCAAAGGACCTCAGTTGAGGGCCTCGAGGCCACAGGTTCCCCACCCCTTTCCTAGACAGTCTGCACTGGTTTAAGAATTTTGGCAAGGACCATCTGACAAAACTACCTGAAAACAGGATATACTCGTCTTAGGGACAGAAGAAGATAGTCTAAAAGCCTCATTTCTTTGCCATGGAGGAAAGAACACTACAGTCAGAGACCCTAATCAAATCAAATCTCTCTGAGCCTTGATTTTCTCATTTGTAAAATGGGGATCATACAGGCAGTAATCCGTAAAATGGGATATAATATTCATTATATGATCTGTGTCGAAAGGTAACTGTGGGGGAAGCACAAAATGCTTTATAGATAAGACTCCAGCACCCTGAGGCTTTAAAACCTTCTTGTTGCTTTTAAAGGTTTTTCTGTATGAAACATAGACATTTAGGATCATGTCGTCTTTCTGAGGTTGAGGCTAAATTTGGAAAGAAACGTATATCTGTTTAATTTGACTTGTCCTGATTGTTTTCCTCTTGCACTACCCAGAAACCTGCTTCTGAACACAAAGAGCCCAGGATCCAGAGGGAAAAATAGCGCTGAATTCCAGGATCAGAAGACCTGAGTTGGCAGCCTGACTGTGTTTTTAATACCTACGGGGTCTTGGGCAGGTTACTTGATTCTGGAGCCTCACCTAGACTATTGGAGCATAAAAGAATCAATGAGATGATCTAATCCAAATCTTTTGTTTTACAGATGAGGAAATTCAGGCCTAAAGTCATTTGCCCAGGTAGTAAGGTAGTAAGCTGTTGAGGGGCATTTGAACCGAAGTTCTTGTCTCCTCCCGTTTATCGTTGTTTGTACACAGTTCTCTCTCCCCTAAGATTGTGAGAGCTTTTCTTTGCATGGCCAGTGCTTAGTGGGGTGCCTGACACGTCGCAGGCTCTTAAAGAGTGTTTATTGACTGGCTGACAAATCCCACACCCTTTCCAATGCTCCACGACCTCCCGATGGCCCTTTCCTTCTCTACACTGCCATTCTAGGATTCTAAGGGCCTGGTGGAAACAGGAAGGAGAGAAGACACACTTCTGCACCAAGAGCCTATCCCCAGCCTACCAGAAGGCCAACCTAGGTCACGCCCACTTGATCACCCTCTCCTCTGGGCCAATAGACAGCCCCCCGAGGGCGGGGATGGGCCGGAGCCTGAGGCCTGGAGCCCGCTGGTTGGGTCGCAGCTCCCATTGGCCCCTCCTAAGCCGACTCGGGAGCTGAAGTCCGGAGGAAGCTTTGGGGCGGAGCTCAGCGCGCGGGAGATTTGACCGAGAGGCGCGGGGAGGCTCCGGGCCAGGCACAGCTGGCGGCGCAGCCAGGGAAGAGAGCCAACCGGGGCAATGGTGGAAGGGCCTGGGTGCACACTGAATGCAGAGAAAATCCGGGCTCGGGTGCGCCCGGGCCAGGCGGTGACCGGTGTACGAGGAAGCGCGTTGCAGCCGCCCGGGGCACCCTGGCCCCCAGCAGCTTGCCCCGGGGCACCTGCATCCTCTCCCTGGGTAAGCTTACCCCGCTTCCGTGGCGTTGAAGAGGGAGAACCGTAAATTTAGGGTTAGAAGAGACCTTTGAGCTCATCTAGTCCTGCCTCTCCCCCTTTTTACAAATGAGAAAATTGAGGCCTGTAAAACAACTTGCCCAAGATCCTCCGGGTAGTAATTGGCAGAATCAAAATTGGAACCCAGGTCCTTTGACTCCAAATCAAACTTTATTCCCATCTAGGGGCGACCCTCCCCTAAAGTGCCCTCTTCCTACTGGGTTTCCCTGGGGCCTGAGTGCTCTGCTTCCTTCCTGGTTCAGACACACCTGTGCTTGGAAAACACCCCCGCGTGCCCAGTTTCCAGTGTTTGCTACTGTTACTCAGGGGACAAGCCCCAGCCTTGTTTGTTCCTAAAGTTGTTCCTTCCGGAAATTCAGTCCCAAGTTGAACTTTCTGGCTTTTCTTTTCCACTGTACCAGGTGTTTTATTTCGTAGATTTTTAGAGTAAGAATGGTCCTTAGTATCCTCAAATTGCCTTCTATTTATTTTGGTATATCTTTGTTTAAACTTATAAATGCCCTCTTCAACAATAGAATATGAGCTCTGTGAGGCCAGAGACTGCTTCATTTTGTCTTAGAATCCACTGCACCTAACACAGTTCTGATGCATATTAGACATTTCATAAATGCTTTTTAACTGATTGAGCTAATGGGAACTGATGACTGATACAGCCAGGATTCCTGCTTAAAACCTTTCTTGTAGAACCATAAAGAGTCTAGAAGAATCTTTGAGATGACATAGTTTCATTTTGCAGAAAAAGGCAGAGAGAGAAGAAGTGACTTGGCCAAGATCACACTGCTAAGTAGTATGGTATAGTATAAGAAACAATTAGAAGACCAGAAGTTCAACCAGGAACTGCATCACAGTGGGCCTTAGTTTCCTCATTTATAACGTATGCAGGTTAGATGATGATTTCTGAGGTTCTCAGCTATAATGGTCTGTGATTCTGTGAAGTGGCCTTGGGAGCAGTGGGTTATTTCTCTGCTCTCTTCCTCCCCTTTTAAAGTTGATGGATACACTTACTTTGAAGCTTTCAACTATAATTTCCCTTTTCTGCCTCTCTTAATGTTCCACAACTCTACAACTGATATATATTTCACACCTAATATGTAACACTTCAAATGCATACCAGAGGCTTAGTTCAATTTTCCACTCACCACAATTTTGCATTCTAATAAATATCTCTTGGGACTTATGCTTCCCTGAAGTGAAGTTAGCGCCTTATTTATTTATTTATTTTAAATTTGCTTTAGCACAGCTATTACTGCTAGCTTTGTGATGCTGTAGCATTCATTGAAGATGAGGGGGCATTCCTTTGGTAAGAACTTAGAATCTATTCTTAAAAGATTCAGTTTGAGCCGTCCTGCAGAAGAGCCCCCAGGAGGTATGGCTTGTTGAATGTTACTGGATGGCTTTCACATTGTAGTATATATTAATTCTGACTGCAAAACTCTTGCCCTCGAAGGGAAAGGAAAGTAGCCAACCATGAAAACTAGCATACCTCCTCCCCTTCCCCTCCCCCCCAACAAGCTTTAAAAAGAAATTGATTCAACAAATATTCATTGACCACCAATTATGTTACATGTATGGAGTCTCAAGAAATCATTCTACTGGCTCCCTTCAAGTCCCAGCTAAAATCCCACCTTCTACAAGAAGCCTTTCCTAATCCTCTCCTAATGCTAATGCTTTCCCTCCATTGACAGTCTCCAATTTATCCTGTGTATAACTTATTTGTACATAATTTGCATCTTCTTTCCCCCATTAACTCCTGGAGGAGGGACTGTTTTTTGCATTGCTTTGCCTCTCTAGACACTTCAGGGTGCCTGGCACATAAGGAGGTACTTAATAAATACTTGTTGACTGACTGATTAGTCCTAAATAAGTAGAGTAAGCTTTACATGTTTAACTTTTTTCTTTTTTGAGGGGGATGTTAGCCTTAGTGGGAAGTTTTATCTTCATGTTAGAAATTATCAGTTAAGTCAAACCTCTAATTTTTTAGATGGAGAACCTAGGAAAATTGAAGTGATTTGCCCAGGGACATGGCATCATGGATTTCAGAGCTAGAAGGGGCTTAGAGGTTATCTAGCTCAAACTCTTAATTTTACAGATGGAAACTGAGGTCCTTAACCAAGGTAATATTGGAAATAAATGACAAAACCAGGTTTGAAATTAGGTTTTCTGACTCCAAATTCAAGTCAAATAACGAAACTCATAAGTGGCAGATCCAGGACTTCCAACCCAGGTTTACTATATTTACTATAATTAATGATATATAGATAGCTAACATTTCTATAGAATTTAAGATTTACAAAGCACTTATTATCTCCTTTTGTCCTCAGAACAATCCTGGGAGGTAGATGGTATTTTCCATTTTACACATGGAGAAATCCTTGACTGTCTCACTAAATAGGAAATCATTAAAGCTTTGGGGTTTTTGGGGGGTGGGTTGAAGGTAGTGGATAGTCAAAACTCTTTCCTATGAAGATTATTGTCATCTATGTGAACGCTATTAGAGTGGGGAGAGACTGGTGGCATAGAGAACCTGAAGAGATTTTCATGTGGCTATTATCAGTTTGCATTTCCTCCTTTGAAAATTATCTGCTATGTTCTTTGACCAATTTTCCATTGGGTAGTGCATGTTACTCCTATAGAAATGACTAGTTCTTTTAAATTCTAGATGTCAGATTTTAATCTTTTTCAGCTGAGGACTCTGCCTTCTTGAGAAAACTGAGGCCATTCAGCATGAACTCTCTCTCCTTCCCTTCTCTTTAAAAATTCCTTTACACTGTCATTCCCCAACTCTATCGTCCTTTCCCCGTCTCTGACAATGATTTGGCCCTTCTTCATGTAAAGGCCGGTCCTTCTATGTGTATACTTGATCAACCCCCTTAAGCTATTCTCCTGTGTCTCTCTTCCCTTTCACAAATTCCTAGAAAAAGCTACCTACACTGGTGCCTACACTTACTCTCTCATTGTCTTCTAAAATATCTGTAATTTGGCTTCTGACCAGATCATTCAGCTGAAACTGTTCTCTCTCACATTACCAGTGATCTCTTACTTGCTAGATCTAATGGTCTTTTATTCAGTCTTCATCCTTCTGGGCCTATTTGCTGCATTTAACTCTGTTAACCACCTCTTGGACATTCTCTCTTCTCTGGGTTTTCTTAATGCTTTCCTCTCTTGGTCTTTCTCTTGCCTGACTCTTCCTCCTCAATTTCCATTTTAGCTCATTCATACCCTGAGGGGCAGCTAGGTGGCACAGAAGATGGAGTGCTGGGCTTGGATTCAGGAAGACTAATCCTGAGTTCAAATCTGGCCTCAGACACTTACCAACTTGAGATCCTGGACAAGTCACTTAACTGGGCAAGCCTCAGTTTCCTCATCTGTAAAATGAACTGGAGAAGAAAATGGCAAACCACTCCAGTATCTTTGCCAAGAAAATCCCAGATGGCGTCACAGAGTCTGACACAACTGAAATGACTGAACAACAACTCTCTAATTGTAGATATTCCCCAAACTGTCTCCTGGATGTCTTCTCACCTCTCTGCAAATTCTGTCTGGGTAACCTCAGCAACTCCCATGGGTTTAGCTATCCTCTCTTTATGGATGATTCACAGATCATTGTAGCCAGCCCTAGTCTGTCTTCTGCGTACTAGTCAGCATCACCTACTGAACATTTCACACTGAATATCCTAAAGATATCTCAAACGCAACACATTCTAGACTGGATCTTTCCTCCCTAAGTCTTCTCTTCTTTTAAACTTCCCTGTTTTTGTTGGCAGTACCCCAATTCTTCTGAGCCCCTGAGTTTTTAACTTAGCATCATGTTGTACTCCTTAGTCTTCCTCATCCTACGTATCAAACAGTTGCTGCATCCACATCAAACTCAGCAACACCTTTCATAACTCGGATCTTCTCATTACTTTACAGTTACCAGGACCTCACTACTACTCACCTAGACTATTTCAGTGGCTTCCTAATTCATCTCCCTGCCTCAAGTCTTTCACCCATCATCATCCATCCTCCACACTGCTGCCCAAGAGATTTTCCTTAAGCCCAGAGTTGACTGTCATTCAGCTACTTTTTAACAATTAAATTACATTTTTCAATTAACAAAACTATACTCCTTAAACCCACCTCTTTAACAAAAGAATGGCAGAGAATTTTCTCATCCTTTCTCTGGTGCCATGCTTGGAGGCCTCTGCTTGCAGAATATCTGTTTTAGCTGCTGAGCAGATGATGGATTGGAGAGATAAGAGACTAGAGATTGGGAAACCAGTTAGGAGGCTTTTGCTTATTATTGGTGTTTGGGGTTTGTTCACTATTGTGAATATACAGGCTATTACTTACTTCCCCTGCCAGGGAGATTTTTTATATATATAATATTTATTATATTAAAAGATTATATATATATAAATATAAATATATACATGTATGTGTATACAGGCTATTATCTACTTCTCCTGCCAGGGAGATTCCATTCATTTGAATTGGGCTCTTACAAGATGATTGTACAAGAGAGCAGCACAACCTGGTACTCAGGCCTTACTAATGATTACCCAATTATTATCATGTCACTTACAACGTGGTAATGAGATAGCCCAAAGAAGTCAAACCCCATAGACAAGAGGAAATAAACTTAAACTGTGCTGGAAGGGACTTAGTTGAGAAAATAAGAAATTATTACCTCATTGGGAAAGATAACAGAAACTAGGATGGATCACAGAAGTTAAAACTGTACATCTACTCTTTTAAAAATTAGATTTTAGAGCAAATGTTCAGTTAGAATCTCAACTCTCAGTACACTCTTAAATATTTTTTTCTCTGACTTTTCATTTTCTGGTCCTTTTGATCTGAAGGATAATCTTTGGTTAAAACATAATGAATGGAAAGATGTTTTTATGGAAAGATGAACTCTGAAAGATGGCAAATTTTATCTACCTCAGGCAAGATCATGTAATA